CAGACACACACGCAGAGACACACACAGACACACACAGACCAGGGTCAGACACACACGCAGAGATACACACAGACACACACGCAGAGATACACACAGACACACACAGACCAGGGTCAATTTTCCCCTGAAGCCAATTAACCCACCAGTGTGTTTTTGGACTGTAGGACAAGACCCCCACAAACACAGAGAAATCACACAAACTCCACAGGGACAGAACTTCAGCTCCAGAATCGAACCCAGGGCCTCAGCGCTACGTGGCAGTGGTGCTAACCACTGCATCACTGTGCTGCCCGGCTTAAAGCATAAAAGGGCAATTTAACCTGTGAAAACATCCTTTTTAATGAGAATTTCCACAGTCTACTGTTTACAAGATTCATTCATGACACGGCGCTATTTTGACAATATCGAATACTTTCTGTATAATAATAATAATTCCCTACACTTCTATAGTGCTTTTGCTGGACACTCCACTCAAAGCTCTTTACAGGTACTGGGGCTCCCCTCCACCCCCACCGTGTGCTGGTGTTTCAGAGCTGTAGTGCTCGGACAACCTCTCTGCTCCCTGTCTTCCCTCTGATCGTCCGCAGGCAGGACTTTGCTCTGAATCCATCAGAGGGGGCTGTTGGCAATTCAGTGAGCTGAGAAAGTGGGACGTTCCTCTCCTCTGTCAGTCCAACACTGTCAAACACTGTCCAACACAGTCCAACACTGTTCATCACTGTTCAACACTGTCAAACACTGTCCAACACAATCATACACAGTTCAACACTGTCCAACACAATCATACACAGTTCAACACTGTTCATCACTGTCCAACACTGTCCAACACACTCAAACACAGTTCAACACTGTTCATCACTGTCCAACACGGTCCAACACAGTCCAACACAGTCCAACACAGTCCAACACTGTCAAACACTGTCCAACAAAGTTCAACACTGTCAAACACTGTCCACCTCTTTCCACAATCGCAGTGTTGGTCTGCACCTACAGGGAAAAGAACACGGCGCCTCTCAGATGGAAGTCATATCATGCAACACTGCAGAGCAAATACTTTTCTGTAAAGTCTGTAACGGGTTCGGAGGGAACCTGTCTCCCTGGATGTTTGCCTTGCTCCCTTATCCGCCTGCCTGGGCTCACAAGAACGTCAGGAATGTCACAGACGAGACGGGACACTTCAAGCCCTCTTCTTCCTCGGCAGCAGAGCACCATGAAGGCCACAGGGAGAGAATCCTGTGCACAGAGGCTCTTGGAGTCTGGGCTCGAGCAGCGTGGGAAACCCTCTCCGCTAGCTGAAAAAACGACGCCTGATGTTCTCTCTCTCAAACCGCTACTGTCAAAGTGGTGCTATTTAAAGAAAAGCAGGAACACTGGCATTTTTTTAAAAATGATTTCTTTGTACCACTCTGTCACCATGAAAAAAAAAACAGAGACTTGTTTGTGCACACAGGCTGCTGAGCCGAGCCCAGAGCTCGGTCAGCCCTGTGCACACACTGCTAATCAGGGATTATGGAGTCATGAGCTGGTATCAGTGAGTGATGCCACAGAGGATCGAGTCTGTATCTTCACGGACGTGGGGACCCAGAGAGGATCATCTGCGTGAGGCGTATAACAGACTGACCAGCAGGGGGGAGCTCGCCCAGCTCCGGGCTTGCTCTCTGGCCTGACGTAGAGAGATATTCTCCTTGTGCTCAGTGCAGAACGTAGGGGAAGAACGACACATTAGCATCTTCAGCAGATTCACAGAAAAACAGTCCATTTCACCACAAAAACCGAGTGTGCGGATGTAAAACCTAATTACTGAACTATGCTTTCAAATGAATGAACTGTGGAATCGAGTCAGTCAACTGTGCAACTGAAACAGTGAACTGCATATAAATCAGTCTCAATCTGTTTTATCCGACTCCGTATTTACCATTTCAATATTACCTGCATAACATTTTACATGTAGCAAAGAACAGCTCCTTGATTGTTCGTGATCCTTTCTCATTTCTTGATCTGTTCCAACGGCCAAGTGTGCGAATTTGCCACCAGCTGTGGTTCACCTCTGGGGACAGGTGCCCCCAAGAAACACTGCAAGGCAGCAATGCTAACCAATGGCAAAGGGGTTCCAGCTGCACAAAAATGCTCCTGTGTCTTTTCCTTTCCTCGTTTTACTTCACTAAAATGCGCACTGTGAGGAGTAAACCGTGCCGAAGTTAATAAACCATGTACACACCCTACATAGCAGGAATCAACACACAACCCACACACAGGAAACAATAAAACCTACAGAGGAATCAGCACACATACACGGGAAATAGTCAACTGTACAAATGTCTCCATTACCAAACCCTGCACTGGCTGTGATCCTCAATTATGATGGAGGAAAGAGGAAGCAAATTTCACACAGGAGTGCAAAACTCTAAAGCTTGTCCTACAGTATAATTGCACTAATAATGAGGGCAATAATAGTGATTGCACAAATAAAGACTGCACTTAGAGTGATTACACTAGAAGTGACTGCACCAACAGTAACTGCACTAATAGCGACACACTAATAGTAACTGACCTCATAATGACTATGCTAATAGTGGCTGTACTGTGACTGTACTAATAGTAATTGCACTAGTAATTACTGCACTAATAGTGATTGCATTAAAAAAGAATGCACTAATAGTAATTGTACTAATAATCAGTGCACTATTAGTAACTACACTAATAATGAATGCACTGATACTACTAATAGTGATTGCACTAACTCCAGTTCTTAAAAATCAATTGTTCTGTAACAAAGAGGAAAAGATCTGTGTTTTCCTGCTTCCTGTGAATGGGGACTTCGTCCAGACCCAGCGAACAGTGACACAGGCACATCACAAATCAGCGCTGGACTGAGCCATGTGAAGGAGCGGAGAGGTTTGGACAAGGGCAGGAAACTCAACAGAGACTCTGCATAGTCACACGCTCAGTGTGTTCCAGGGTTACACTTCTGTGCCCGCGAAAGCAGCGCACAGTTTTTCTCTTCTTCTAAATTGAGGTGCTCTAATTTCACAGATCTTAAATGAAGAGACCCCTACAGAGCCCCGAATTCACTGTAGGCAGTTCTCCCTCCCGGGACTCCAGAGCCCAGGGCTTGCTGGATAGACCCAGCCCACAGAAGCCGACAGCAGGACTCAGGCGGGGACAGACAGGTCCGGGTCAATGTTCGCTCTGAACTCACTCAGGTCATGAAATCAGCGCACATAGGAAACTGAACTGCGCACCAAAAATTAAACCCCTCCCAAAATATGATGATAATTAAACAAACACGGTCGCCGATTGAAAAGTGCCGAACTGACCACACGAGACTGGCGGCGAGAGGCCGGGCTGCGTGCGTGACCCTCGGCATCTGCGCGCTCTCGCAGTCTCGTCCCTCCCTGCTCGCGCTCGCTCCACGCTCGGTCTCCACCGGCTGGGCTCGTGGGATCGCTGTCCCGGTCTTTAGGGTCTCTGTGCGTCTACGAGAATGAGTACGTTAACAAACCCCCCCAAAAATGATAATTTCAGGTTTAAAATCTGACCAACACTCAATGTGGTGCGCGACAAGTGTTTGTCACTGGGGGGGCGCGAAACAATTTGCACAACTTGGAAGTTTTGCGCACAAAGGCACTCAGAGTGAGAGGGACCACTGGTCTGGGTTCCCGGAGCCGAGAGGCGTCGCCCCGGCGGGGGGGGGCGCGAGCAGGCGACACCCGCCCCGGAGCGGATTAGAGCGGGGCCGAGCGCGCGCGATGAGCCGCTCCAAAGGCCTCGCGGGCCGGATTAGCGAGCGGCTCTAACGCCGAATGCCGCTGCTTTGCGAGGGGGATAATCCTGATTAACGGGGGTTTTCGGGCGGCAAAAATTGGATTAAGGGAGATGGTGGAGGGAAAAAACCCTCCAAATCCTTCAGGTGCTAGGGGGGGTTGATTGGACGAGAGCGGGACGGGGGGCGATCGAGTCGCATGCTTTCTGGGGGGTCCCTATAAAAGGCCGGCTCGAGCCAAACAGGAGGGAAATCGGCTCGCGCGCGCCGACGCTGTTGCAGGACCAGATCCAAATTCAGAAATCTGTGTATATGTACGTGTCCATCTACTTTCCTGCAGTGTAACTGTAAAAGAACAATATATATATTAAAAAAAAAACAAAGGACCGAGAAAGATTTTAACCCAAGTAGGGACCGTTTGTTCTTGCATGCACGTAGGCGATTTTCTATAAAGCGACAAAATGCGTCAACTTCGGCCCGATTCCTACCAGCAAGAGCTCCCGGACGACTTTTATATCCCCATCAAGCTCAACACCAACAACATCACGGCTCTGTCTCCCTTCCTGGTGCCGCAGACGCACCTGGGCAGCACGACCATGTTCATGAGCATGGCCGCCTTCATGTTATTCCTCACCATCGCCGGCGTCCCCATCAACCTGCTCACCATCATCTGCACCTTCAAGTACAAGAAGCTGCGCTCGCACCTCAACTACATCCTCGTGAACCTGGCCGTGGCGAACCTGCTCGTGTGCTCCCTGGGCTCCTTCACCGCCTTCTTGAGCTTCTACAACATGTACTTCACAATGGGCCCCATCGCCTGCAAGATCGAGGGCTTCACATCGGCGCTGGCAGGTGGGGGTCTGCTTGTGTGTCCGCTGGACTGAAGCGGGCTGCCTGTATCTGCCTGCTGTGTGTATCTGTTTCTGCCTGCTGTCTGTATCTGACTGCTGTCTGCCTGTATCTGCCTGTATCTGCCTGCTGTGTGTATCTGTTTCTGCCTGCTGTCTGTCTCTGCCTGCTGTCTGCCTGTATCTGCCTGTATCTGCCTGCTGTGTGTCTGTATCTGTCTGTCTGCATCTGCCTGCTGTCTGTCTGTATCTGTCTGTCTGTATCTGCCTGCTGTCTGTCTGTATCTGTCTGTCTGTATCTGCCTGCTGTCTGTCTGTATCTGTCTGTCTGTATCTGCCTGCTGTCTGCCTGTAACTGCCTGCTGTCAGTCTGTATCTGTCTGTCTGTATCTGCCTGCTGTCTGCCTGTATCTGCCTGCTGTGTGTCTGTATCTGCCTGCTGTCTGCCTGTATCTGCCTGCTGTGTGTCCGTATCTGCCTGCTGTCTGTCTGTGTCTGTATCTGCCTCTATCTGTCTGTATCTGCCTGCTGTCTGTCTGTATCTGCCTGCTGTCTGTCTGAAGTTACGTGCTGCCTGTAGAACATCAGAACTAGAATTCTATTATTCTATCATAAATCGCTCTCACAATGCTCATCCTGCTGGGATTGAACCTGACATTCGGCCAGTCCCACGCTCTGCCCCACCCTGGTGGAGTATCTGATGGGAATGACTCCCTGCAGACACAATGCTCAGAATATCCCTGTTCTCTCCACCTGTCTCCGTCTACAGGCATGGTCAGCCTCTGGTCCCTGGCCGTGGTGGCGTTTGAGCGGTACCTGGTCATCTGCAAGCCCATCAGCAACCTCACCTTCAGGAGCTCCCACGCCATCATAGGCTGTGTGGTCACATGGGTCTTTGCTCTGGTGGCCTCCGCCCCGCCACTCTTCGGCTGGAGCCGGTCAGTGCCTGCAGACGCCTGTGCAGTCCTGCACCCCTCTGTGCGCATTGCACTGCCTGAGCTGTCGTGTCCTGTTCTGTAGTCTGAGCATAAATGTAGCTCTGCTGTCTGCGCAGTCCTGCACTCTTCTGCATACACTGCGCTACGTGGGAGGCTTTGTACTGCTCTGTTGTCTGAGCACCCCTGCTTGGATTGGGTTTGTGTGAAGTTTAGGACCGCAGTGCAAAGACACTCAGACATAGGCGTGTCGGAGGCTATGTACTGGCTACAACCTCAAAATTCATAATATACCAGTCTTTCCCAGCCTGCTGTGTACTGAGATGTACATAAGAGCAGTGCTGTACTCTTTATACCTTGCTCTGCCTGGCTTGCATTTGTATTACAGGGAAACTATTCGCATTCCCATCCAGGTTTTAGTGTGAGCAATACTAGCTCTTATACTGATGAAGCAGCAGCAATAGTGCAGTCTATGTAATAATGTCAGTTAGCTTAACATTGGGTAAACACTGGACTTTCCATCGCCAGGCATTGGCCCAATGCAGGACTGAAATGTCCCAGACTGCGGGGCACTGGCACGATCCACTTCCCGGTCCTCAGCAGCTCTTTCCCATTGCTCCTCCCAGGTATATTCCCGAGGGGCTGCAGTGCTCTTGCGGGCCCGACTGGTACACCACCAACAACAAGTTTAACAACGAGTCCTACGTCATGTTCCTCTTCGTGTTCTGCTTTGGGGTCCCCTTCAGCACCATCGTCACCTGCTACATCCGCCTGCTCATGACACTGCGATCGGTGAGGCTGGGCGGGGCCCTCAGCACCCAAGGCGCTCCTTTGCTCTCCTCCCCATGCGAGCTTTCAGGCAGGGTCTCCTCTCCTTGCGGGGTTCTGGGAAGGGTCTCCTCTCCTTGGGGGGTTTGGGACTGGGTCTCCTCTCTTTGCGGGGTTTTGGACAGGGTCTCCTCCCCTTGCGGGGTTTTGGACAGGGTCTCCTCCCCTTGCGGGGTTTTGGACAGGGTCTCCTCTCCTTGCGGGGTTCTGGGAAGGGCTTTCTCTCCTCTCCCTGCGGGGTTCTGGGAAGGGCTTTCTCTATTCTCCTCCTCTTGTGGGGTGTCGGGCTGTTCCTCCTGTCCTGCTGGTCTCTGTTCTTCCTGAGATCTCAGTTAAATAGTTCAAACCTCAAAGGACCGCATAGTGGGCTTCATTTGAGCTCTTTGCTCAGATGTTGCAGATGCAGTGTGTGGTGTGTGAGTGTGTATCGGCTCCCCTCTCTCAGTCTCAGTGCAGTGTGGTGTGTGAGTGTGTATCTGCCCCCCTCTCTCAGTCTCAGTGCAGTGTGGTGTGTGAGTGTGTATCGGCCCCCCTCTCTCAGTCTCAGTGCAGTGTGTGGTGTGAGTGTG